GGTAATAAATAGTAGGAGAGATATTGTGAAGAAGAAGAAGAAGAAAAGTAAGAAAGAGATTAAAAAGAATGGGTATTTATGTAGCTTAGGGTTAAAAATTGCCAAATTAGAAAATAGAACAAATAATAGAACTTTCCAAAAAGGAATAAGAGCAAACAATAAAAACAAATGGGGTAATAGATCATGGCAGCAAACTATATTTAAGTCTTAGTTTCAGTTATCTGCGGTGGCCAATATTTCTGTCATGGTTTTGTAAGTAGTAATATTTCATCTCAAATCTATATTCTTTAATGTGAGAAAGTGGAGACCTTCCTTTTACCAAATTAAGGAATGTGAAACTATTTATCTACGTAAAATTGTAAAAACAAAAAAGGAAAGAGTGAAGAGGAGGGAAGAAATGGAGGTGGTTAACAAATATTTGTTTGGTTCAAGTGTTCAATGAAGGAATGTGGTGGGATGATTAATTTTTGAAAATATGTAAAAAAAATAATGTATTTGATTTTAATACAATTTTTGTTGTAAGAGCGCTGTTTGGGAATTAGGAAAAACAGGGATGGGTGATGGGTCCCAGGGCGAGGGGAGTTATGGGGAGTTTGTAGGATTTTATCTCCCAGGCTCCATCTCCCCCAATCAAACACAGTCCCATAAGGCATTAACTCTTTCTTCCCTCCCTCCTCCAAAACCCTCCAACCAAACAAGGGCTAAATAAAGGGTATTCCTATTAATGTGTTCACACGCAATCTTGAATTCTTCATTGAGATTAGGATGATCATGATCTTGAAGCACATTAAGAAAATTGGCTTGATGGAACACCAACATCAAGAGTGAGCTTATGTATGATGAATCATGATTCATGGCAATGAGATCAGCAGTGAATTGGCAGTCAAACTCCTGCAACCTTTTTTAGACACTAGAGCGCTTGAATTTCTTTTTATTTTGACTTTTTAACCCAAATTTTGGTTGAATAGTACATTCGACGCCCATACTTGTTCAATTTTATCTCCCTCAACTTAGATTGAATTAACATCTCAGTATCTCACTGCAGAAAATGGAGGTTCTTGAAGAGGCATACACTTCTTCTGGCAACGGCAAAAAAAATCCAGACTACACTGGGGTGCCAAGGAGGAGTAAACGATCTAAGCGAAAGCGTGCGGTATGAAAATGATAGCCATTTTGAAGTCAGTTTAACTATCATCATCATCATCATCATTTTCATTTACCCCAGTGCCGCAAAGGCTCCCACCTACGGTGGGGTAAGGGGGGGTCAGATGTAAAATTGTTGTAATATAGATTCTTAGCTATAGATGCCATTTCCACATCCACCATTAGTTTGTGGTATATAACTACCACTCACCGCATTTGTTTGTAGGACATTGCTTACTCCACCTATTTAAGTGTTTTTCTACTCCTCCAAGGGAAGTTCTTAAAACATTCTATTATAGTCTCTCTTCAAACTTGTTTTATTCCTTCTGGGTGTTGTTGAGTCAGAGGTACAAAATCATGTATTTCAAATATGTGTTTACAATGTCTGAAGTAGGAATTTGTATCCAGGTTTGCTAAGAGGACTTTTTTGTAAGAAATATTTATATAGTTGTCTTAATTATATAATTTTCTACTTATTGCTTGGGTTTCAAACCTTCATGTTGTTGTGGTGATGGCTTTTGGTGTCCCTTTGGGTTCTTATTAATATTTATCTCTTTAGCTGATAAAAGATTGTTCAATCATCAGTCTTTTTTTTGCTATTCATAAGAGCAGCCCTAAGGCTGTTGTCTATGATACCGTGATACTCTGGAAAAATAATTGCAATATATCAGCAATGTTAACTTTTGAAAATGTGAGACTCAATTTACGTCCATCCTCCCGGATGGGGTGTCAACTATGGATGGACTCGGTTCGGGTCGGGCCCGGGCCGGGCCTCCGGTCCTGGATTGGAGGGCCCGGAACCGGCCCGTGTAAGTGTGTAACCCCCGGATCCGGGTCGGGCTGGGCCTCATGTTTTTTTTTTTGCCTTTTCCTAATTAACCTCCCCCCCTCACACCCAAACCACCCCAAACCACCTCAAATGGCCCAAAATACCCAGCCCAATCCAAAAACTTTTTAAAAAAAATAAATTAAAATGGCCCGGATCGGGCCCGAATCGGCCGGGCCGGTTCACGTTTTGAGGGGCCCGAGCCCGGACCGGAACCACCTCGGGTCGGGCCTACCCGGACCGGTCCCTGACCGGGCCATCGGGCCGGTTCCGGGTCGGGCCACCCGGCCCGAGTCTACCCATAGTGTCAACTGTGTCATCTTTTTTTATGGACAAGGTACACGAAATTATCTTTTCCCGATGTGAAGTTATTCAAGCCAAAGCATATTTAGGATGTTTTCTGTTGGACTGTTTTCAGTCTCAGACCAGACCAGACTTCCATAGTTATAAAATATACAGAGATTATTCCAGTTCAGACCAGACCAGATCAGACCAGCAAATTTCAGTCCAAAAGAAAACATCCTTACCCCGAGGCCACAAATTCCCACAATAGATCATATGACACATCACAACCACATAAGGGAGTCACATGTGTTTCCATAATTTTTTTTTTTTGCATTTAACCTTGTCACTTTTATGTAAAGGTTACTATTAGAGTTAACTTATTAACTCTATTAGATTAATTGTATATAAGTAACATTTGAATTCATAGTTGATTTATATGTAGTCTTAAGACTCTGTGCTACTCACTCCAACTAGGGGTGGACTGGGACAAGACCGGTCTTCAGGTCGGGACTGCACGAGAGTTAAGCGTGCTTGCACGAGAGTAGTCTTGGGAAGGTGACATCATGAGAAGTTTCTCAGTGTGCGCACGAGTGAGGACAAAATGTGCATAAAAGGCTCGTGCTGGTTTGTGAAGACAGTACTAGAGGCCTGCATGCGGTCATAAGTAACTATTGGGTTGAATAACTCAGTGAAGTCTATCTGAAAGAGGGTGAGACAAGATGTAGGAGGATTACACCACCTCTAAACCATGATATGTCTTGTGTTCCTTTTATTTTTAGTTCCAACACTATTATATTCATACTCATCCTAAACACCGATCTTAAATACACCTCTCAAAAGCTTTTACCTTGAATTTCTTATTCATTCCTATCATAAGAATATCAACAATCTGCTCATCTGGCATGTTAATATTTATCTCATTCATCTAAGTATTCATCCACGGATTATCTTGATCTTGCACAACATTGACTAGCCGCCTACTGCTAAGTCACTAGCAATATGCTGGTAACTAGACAGCAAGTAGCCTTCTACTCACTATTCGAAGTTCTTAAACACTACATTAAAACTTTGATTGTTGCCTAACCCATCTAATTACCACACTACAAGGGTCATAACTTTGTTACTATAAGTGTCACACTATACGAGGGTCAAGAGTTTTGCTGACAGTTCAAAGGTCTCCGAAAAGATCTTGAACTCACTTTATTAAAGGAAAAACTGTGAAAAGATGAAAAAGATTTAAAAGTCTATTCACCTCCCCCTCTAGACTTTTACCTCGGCAGGGACCATCAAAACTTTTTGACGTTGGCCCTTATCGGTCGGAATTATCCTAATCCATAACAACTTATACCGTCCATATTCTCCTCCACCCAATTGTTAGTACCTTTACCTCTGTCCCAAGTCCATTGACAACCACCAAATGGAAAAACTCGTAAACCATTTGTCTCTACTGCCTCCCAGGAATCTCTTAAACGCCGAAGAGGATGAGGGATCCTTACCTTCAACTCGGACTCATAAAGTATATCGTTGAAATCACCAATGACCATCCAACGTAAATTACTTCTACCTGCAAGATTATGAAGCATAGCCCATGCCGCTCTACGTCGATTTGTCTCAGGAAAACCATAAAAACATGTCAAACAACAACCTTATTCATTTACGATCAAACAAACATTGCAGCCAATGAAATTGGTCTGACAATCCAGAACTTTCAACTCTGTTTCGTCATTCCATCCCAAAGCTAGTCCACCGCTGAGTCCTATACTGTCACAGTTGCAGCTATTCTGGTACCCTGGCATTCTGAGCGCCTCTCTGACCCCGTTGTCATATTGCCTTTGTCTCCATAAGAAAGATGATGGAGGAACGGTGCGCCTGGATAAGATCTGCTAGGCCTTGCTGCGTACTCGGGTTTTCCAATCCCCTACAATTCCAACTAACCACACTCATAACTCACCAAATCAATAGGATCAAACGAAGACAACCGCTGGACAAATGGACGCCATTGCCAAAAAAACACCGCTGGGAAAATCCTAGAAACGGCCGCCTTTAGCTAATGACCACATCATGAAACTAGCTTGTAATTAGTGAAGCACTCGTAAAAGAGAAAATCAGAAAGGATCAATCAAAGCTCCTAGCGAAGCTACTATATGCAACCGCCAAACTCGATTCCTAGAAGAAACTCACACTGTTGTCTTCAAATAAAATGGTTCAATGTTTAGCACTTCTGCATGGCAACAGCCAACGAGAATCAATTGGTCCAACCCTTGGCAGCGTGGTGGCATGGGATGGTGATGATCACCGATCGAGGCGAAATTTTTAATAAAACTTTTGAGATTATTAGATATTAATTTCTTTATTTAACCCTAACTACAACGGAAGTTTCTTTTTGGTTAATTATAAGGAAAGATTAAGAAAAAGGTTGTTGATTATCTCAACAAAAAGCATGATGATAAAGACGAATTTGTCAAAAACATGAAAAATGTGGCTGCTGGGATTCGAGCCCAGGTCTCCACGGCCACAACGTGGAATTCTTACCACTAAACTACAGCCACAAGTTGCTTCAATTCCGTTTGGAACTTATTTATTCCATATAGCATGTTTTCTACCTGTTTTATGTGTTTGGGACCGCGCCAAATTCACCACATTTAAGAAAAGCACAATCCGCGCCTACATCTTCCAAAAGCTATCCAACCGTCGATGTACCCCCAATCAACGCTCTATGTTAACTCCTCACAGGCGTAGGGATCAACACATATACCCGTCGATTACAAGATTCAAATCGACGCACTAGATTGAGCCCATTTTCCACAAGCCGGCAATATAAAAGGGACACCCCGCCTTACCTTTTATCACAACCATCAAGTCATCTTCTCCAATCACCTGCATTTCAGAACCCTAAATTCTCATCTCTGCAAAAATGTCAGGCCGTGGAAAGGGAGGCAAGGGATTGGGAAAGGGAGGAGCCAAGCGTCACAGGAAGGTCCTTCGCGATAACATCCAGGGCATCACCAAGCCTGCCATTCGCCGTCTTGCTCGTAGAGGCGGCGTGAAGCGTATCTCCGGTCTCATCTATGAGGAAACCAGAGGAGTTCTCAAAATCTTTCTAGAGAATGTGATCAGAGACGCGGTGACCTACACTGAGCACGCCCGGAGGAAGACTGTGACGGCGATGGATGTCGTCTATGCTCTCAAGAGGCAGGGAAGGACCTTGTACGGATTCGGAGGGTAGAGCTTCGCAAGTCGTAGATGTTCATCTACGATGAATGGAGATGCTTGTCTCAGCTTAATTTCAATGGTGTAGTTAGCAATTTCATGTTTATTTTACAGCCGATTAATCCGAAGTAGGCTTGTTCCTTGTCTCTTCCAGGAAGGAATACTTCTTCTTGGGATAAATGCAGATGCATGTTTCAGCTCAATTTCAATGGTGTAGTTAGTGATTTCATGTTTAGTTTGTGGCCAATTAATCAGAAGTAGGCTTGTTCCTTGTTCATCGGCCAATTTGAAGTAATACTTGTTCTTAACTTGTGAATCTAATTCGATGGTTACTCTTGTCAATTCAAGATTGTGTTTAGTATTGGATCTTTCTGAGGCGGCTCTTGCAGTTTTTGGTATTTAGAAACCTTTTTCTAATCTTTTAGACTATCTTTCTCACCCTTTCTTTGAAATGAAGCAATTTGTGATGATAAATTAATCTGAACTAGACTTGTTATTGATTTACGGAGTATTATTTTGTTGGCAACAATGATGTTCTTTGTTGAAACTCATGTGAAAGGAAAACTGGAAATGAAGAACAAGCGTTGAATCAAGCAAAAGCATTTCTCTGAGAAGTTCATGATGAGAATAAGGCTATTTAATTGAAAGCTATTGTGCTTGAGAGCGAATTCATATGAGAGGATGTATCCAACTACATCCTATCATATGATTCGTGTACATTGTTAGTTGTGTGTAAACAAATGTGAAGAGTATATAAATGAGAAATGGTCCTTAATATGATTCGTGTACATTGTTAGTTGTGTGTAAACAAATGTGAAGAGTATATAAATGAGAAATGGTCCTTAATAGGACCAAAAAAGTTCTTATAGACCCGTATAGGAGTACCAACTTTTTTACTCTCAGAGTATTTTTAGTTCTTCTACCTCTTTTGCCCCTGATTAATTAATCCGATAAGTCAACTATCAATATAATATCCGTAACTATTGACCCAGCTATCTATCTGCTTTCTCGTATCTCTTCTAGTTACTTCTTCTTCGGAGTGGAACGACAACGCATGAGCAAGGGCGTTCGGCGGCGGTGTGCACGGCGAATTTATTTCGGAATCTGGATCCTCTTCTCTGAAATTTACTTCTTTGTTTTGGTTTTCTTGCAAGAACAATTCATGATCAATTTGAGATTACGGCACTCAAGGAGTCTTTTACCTCCCTCGTTTTTGCCTTCTAACGTCTCCTCCTCGTCGGAAGTGATGTTGTCAATGGCGGAGGACGGCAACGGCTGAAGACGGCATGTGAAGAATTGCTCATCACACCTTTCTTCAACTACAAAGCTGTCGCCCACTCAGATGGCAACAATGTTCGTTTCTACTTTTGTCTCTTGCGGAGCCTTTCCAAATCATTACACCACCTTTTGGCGATTGCCCGTTCTTGTTGTTGCAAATGATTCTCCTATTTTTCTCTTTTGTGTTTACAGGTGTATGTTTTAGCAATGGGACAAGGGTCAAAAAAGACACTATGAATCTCAGATATGACACTTAAGTTTTTGATGGACCAAATAAACCCAATTTTAAACTTTTACCTTCATTTTTAACCACCCACTAACATTCCATTCAAACTACCGTTACACAGCTAAATAAACCAAATAACCCCCAAGTCCACCAAGTGATGTATTCCAGTATAGCAGTAGCAGTAGCTCATTCTTTACTTAGCATCAACATTACCGGAATCCTCACCACGAGCAAAGATTCAACAAACAACACTACTATTCTCCTTGTTCCTGTTACTGGAACAACAATAGTGAACAACAATAGGGAAAGGGACGAACACCATTTCAACCAATTTGGGGATGACTACCGCTCACAGCCTCGTTCCTATTGGTACGAGGACAACACCCCTCGGCAGTCGGCACACACGAGTTCCGTCCAACACTGAATACAAATGGTTGAGACCCAGGTATCAAATTAGGGACTTTAGCAATCGACAATTTCCTATTCCCGGGTATTTTGCTTCCAGACCTCCCCTCAAGTATGAACTCAGCCATGTTCAACCAAGAAATCAACAACACACTACATCCGGAAATCAATTCAGGGATTTCGGCAACTGGAAATTGACCAATCCCATACAAGAAGTACAACCACATCTTGCTCACCGTCAACCACAACAGGAGCAGAGATATCCCAACGTTGCAGCTCGTACTGGTGCGAAGTCAAACACAAGAATCGTCTTCCTCCTCTCCTCGCTCAGCCCAACACAAATTCTAATCGCTACCACTCCGGCAACGACTGGACTACAGGTAATACCTAATCGTTTCAGCTGTTTAGATTCAGGGGATGATTAAACAGAACAATTCAAGCGACTTAATGTACACAACAATTCCGACGGCCACACAGAGACTATCACGACTTCTACAGTTTCAATAGAGACATAAACAGAAAAGAGAATGAATTTCCGAACTACAGGGACACATCGACCTTGAACAGCCTTTTTCGCCGGAATGGAAAAAAGAATGGAAAAAAAGGGTTGTTGGATGTATATTGGGGTGGTGGTGTTTAATCGTAGGGAAAAGGGCTTTTGACGGGAAATGGGCGTTAGAACAAAAAGTTAGTGGGTGGTTTAAAATTAGGGTAAAAGTTAGATTTTGTATTTATTTGATCCACAAAAAACCTAAATGTCTTATTCGAGATTCATTAAAAACCTCGATGTCATTTTTGGTCCTTCTCCCTTTAGCAATTAAGCTTTTCTGTGTTAGGTTTGATTCTTCTTGGGGCAATTTCATAGTTTTAGCATTTTGTTAAGAGTCGGAGAAGTGGCAATAAATTACCTTGTTTAACTGTTGTTATTACAAAAGCTGCTATGTCTAGGATTAATGTAAACTGTAAAGAGCATTGTTCCATTTTGAATATATGCTTTTCTTTTGCACCAGAACTGTTCAATGAAATGTCTATCTGAAAATTCTCCATATTTTGCACTTATTAGTTGAGAAAAATCTTTTGCAACTTACTTAAATTGGATGAACGGGTGGGCTGATTATGTGTGGACTCAACTCACCTTGTGATTTTAATCTTGGCATGTGTAGTCATTATGAAAACAATATCTTTAATTTTAAATAATGACACTTAATGTTGCTTTTAATCATGTGATTCTTTTATACTTTTAAATAATGATTTTTAAACAATGAAAGTAATTTTTGAATAGTGACATTTATTTTGGAACAATGACATTGTTAATTTTGATAATGTTGACAATACTTATAATGACAATGTTTGACATTTTGATTTTCTTTTATTGCAGATTCATTTTCAATGTCATTGTTACAATGTCATTTTCACGTCCGAATTGCAGGGCTGACTAGAATCTTCGCCGCACACAACAAACCAGCACCCAGTCCAAGACTCCATCTTGGTGCCTTGCGTCGATCTCCTCGTACACCACGAAGCCAAACAAGAGCAAACTTGCAAAGCAAACTAACGGAAGAGGAACTGCCGAAGCAAATCCCTTCTTGCCGAAGAAAAAGAATCGCAAATCTATGCACTTCCCAAACCCTAAGCTCTATGGAGACGACCGGTTATGTCTTACACCAGAACTTAACTTAATGTAGTGATATTTGTATGGTTTTAAATCAATTTAATATCAAATACATAGACCCACTTTTTTTATAACTGTGCCACTTTCTCGTGCCCGAATGTTAGTGGGGCGGAGGTAGTATATACTATATAGGGAAAACTATTAAATAAGCTTCAGTACTATACCGAAAAAGTCCATTAGGCTCTCGTACTTTACAAACCGTTTAAATGTAACCCGTTTCTCGGCAGCCGCCGTTGCTGAGGTTCGAGCACATCGTCGCCGCCGTCGCCGTTTAACCGGAAACCGGTAACCTATCGACCAAAAGGGCTTAATTGAGCGTTTTTTAATAGTTCGAGGACTTAATTGAGTGTTTGTAAAGTACGAGGGCCTAATCAACTTTTTCGGCATAGTACGGAAGCTTATTTGATAGTTTTCCCTAGTATATACTCTTTCCGTCCCAAAATATACTTCGCACTTTAACTTGTCACACTTATTAAGAAAGTGAGAGTAAGTAGAAATATATGTTTGTGGTTAAATAAGAAAAATATAAAAAATGTTAGATACACAAAACTTTCCAAAACTGATATATGGAAAATTGTTTTGAAAACTCCCAAAATGATAAGTTGAAAGAATTTTATAGGACAAAAAGACTAAAAAGAAATTTTTGTGCATTAAACTCCTGTTATGCTCCCGGAAGACAATGTGTAAGAAAGTCGGTTGCCAACTGCCACGTTGCAAATTGAGTTGCTGCTTCGTGTTCTAGCAATCCTATCCTGCTCCGCTTAATAGTCAGCTTTGCCTAATACAGAGCATCCGTATTATGCTCCATAGTCCGTATTCCTTTCTTCTGCATTAAGTTCCTTTGACTTGAGAGTAAATGTAACAGGAAAAATTTACATTCTTTCTTAAATAAATGTAATAGGTTAAAATTTATATTATTCACATATTTTATTTTGAGTATGCTTTATATATTAATGTATTAATAAATTGCTTTTTTAAAAATATATTTAAATTTAGCCCATTGTAAATTTTGAATATCTTATTTTTTCTTTAATTTTTTATTAATAGAGAAATTGTCAAAATTATGCATCGACAAATATGAAAAATTAGCTATTGCACTCATTTAAGAACAGATAAAGTATTTATTTTTAGAATTATTTTATATTATTTTAATCCTTTTTTATACTCCTGTATAAAATAAATAAACATTATCACAATTACAATTCATAGTCCATTACACAGACACGTACTCGTACTACCTTTAATACTGAAATAATCAGCCACACATCATTTTCACGCCTCATTCAACTTTATGCTCTAATTTTCATTTTTAATCTCTTCTTTAGGAAACTAAAGCAATAAATAAATGTGTATAATAATCCACTCAACAGCGTATAATAATACGTAGTACTCAAAGGATCCGTTCTCTCTCCCCCTGTTTGGATTCAAACCGACTCAAAGCGCATTCGCGAAGAAATCATCCACAGCTTCAATTCATCGGAAATGTCGTCTACTCCGGTGCCTCCCAGCTCCGCTTACCTCACAGCTCTCACCATGGAAATCGAGAAGAAGCTTCATCGAGTATGCGTCTGTTTATTCATAGCCATTTTTACATGGACAAATTATAGTATGCGTCTATGCGATGTGCTTCAAATCCATCGTTTTACACCTTCCGTTTTCCTTTCTTGTTAAGGAGGCGGTAAAGGTATCTGCATAAGCTGATGTGGGTGTGTGAGTTTTGTTACAGGCAGTGACTATGCCGACTCAGAGGCTTGATTCATTGCAAGAGCTATTTGCTGACATAGCTTTGGAAGTTGATGATCGAGCAAGAGGTCACTTCAAACACTTGTTGGGTTTATATTCGTGTACATTTTGCAATCGGTTTCACTTTTTATCTCATTATCTGTACTATGTTGCGTAGCATGTTGAGACTGTTAATCCCTAATTCCGTTGGACTTTAATGTGAAGACTGAAGAACATGCTCGGTCGACGTTTTAGATGACATTGGAAATGGACTTTTGATTTTTTTTTCCTTCTAAAAACTAAGATATATAAAGAAAAATGAACAATGCATACCCTGAATCAATAAAATTTACATAATCATGTAAGTGTGCAACTCTTTACCAGTGGCGTCCTATGCGTCTTTTCTATTTACTCCCTGCTGCGGTTAGATATTGCAAAAAATGGATAAACAAACCATGCAAAGCAGTTTCATTCAGCAAAATAGGCTTTTTTATGTAGTTTGCATGATTAAAAGTCCATAGTAGTTGCTTTGAATTTACCCCTTTTTACTGTAACATTTATTGGTGAATTAATACCCATGTATGATGTACTTCATTTATTGCCTTTTGTTTTTCTTAACTCTGCCACCATCCCAATTCCACTAAGACTGCTACACACACTACTTGCAATGGCACTATGGCATAACTTTGTGATGGTAATCTAGTTTTAGGTTTCGTAATTCAGTCCTTTACTTCTGACCTGGGTTTGGTTTAATGGAATGTGATCCGGTGCCCTAGGCTCATTGGCTTTACAAAATTATAAAGGATGATGATCTCGTGCTCCGTTTTCTTTTAAAGCTCTTTTTTTACTATATGCTTCTTTAAGGCATTAAATCACTAATACTTTTTACGGAGTAGTTTTTATTTACCACACATAGTAATTGTTATTACTCTCAATTCATACAAATTTGGTCAGCAATTGTTATTTCTGACGTATTTAAATCTACGACTCTAATGCTGATTATTTATGTTTAAATTGAACCAATCCTTTTATAAGTTTAAATAATTTATGTTTGAATTGAACAGACATAATTTTCAGCAGTGAAAGTGCAATATCTGCAGCTGAGGAAAGGACTAAAGGCCCAATTTGCTACTTCAATGTGCTTGCTGACCATTTTGTTCGTGTTCACCACAGCGGAAAACCAATCCTTAATCTAATTGTTCAGCTATGGAGCCAGTCCTTTGCTTGTCACATATTTTCCCTCTTGTTTCACAAGTGGGTATGTGAGTTTAAATTTTACTCCGAACTTGGTGTCTTGGAATATCATGTTCTATTATTATTATGAATCATGTGTGCTATTACAAACCTCACTCCAGTATGCCATTCTTCTTATTGACATCCACCATTTGTTCATTTTTGTAGCTTTTTGAGGTTGAGCTAGACAATTCTGAATCATTGTTTCGGTACTCTTCTGCGCTTGTTCAAGGTGCAACCAATGTATTCTGGTATGGATTTTGGTTATCTTCATTTTGTATTCTGGTATTCTGCGCTTGTTATCATATATATGTATCATTCAGCTGGAAAGATGCAAAGTGTGTGAAGTATTTTGCTGTGCTACCTTTTACAGGATTGATCTTCAATCAAACACGAAATGCTTTCAGAGTCTCTTTATGGTGAGATACAGTCACATATGTAAAGATATTTTTTCCAAAAGAACTATATATAATATTTTAACAGTTTTTCATCCAATAAACGCCCTGAATTGAAGTATCTGATTGAGGAAGTTTCGCTTGTTCCAGAACGGTTAAAGAAGATACCGTTGCAGGTCTGACATTCATTCAATTCTTCCTGCCAAGCTTTAGTCTGTTTTAGTAATTAGGCATGCCTAAGGTTCTCATTCCTGTCACTAAATATTATCTTATTTCCTTTCCCCTACCCCAAAACAGGCGCAACGGGATTTGTTCCTCCTCCTTTCACGCTTCATATTCTTTTACAGCTTAGGTGAGCAGATTTGAGAAATACGCAACAGATGTTGAACTTGGATTTATTTTTATATGTGCTGACATGCATTTAGTTTCAGTTGACAAACTAGAAAGCTTCTTTAGCCAATTTCCTGATTTTCCGAATGCTCTCTTTGTTGGTGGTCCAGCTGATTTTTTTGTTACTGAATTAGCTGATCAGGTAAGAAAAATGATGCTCCCTCTGTCCCAATAAAAGAGTCCGCTTTAAAAACTTCTGAGTGTCCCTTAACAAAAAGGAGTTAGTATTTGACAATTTACTTTCAATGTATTTAATTTATTGTATCGTGTTCCAAAAGAAGTCTTAGAGATGGTTAAATTCGCTAAATTTAGTTAAACCAGCAAACAAATTTAAAAATATATCTAAAATTAATGAAAGTATGTTAGATATGTTTAATTTTAGCTAAAGTGCTAAACCAACAAATAAATCTACAAATGTAGCCAAGGTTGATGATTTCCATTAGTTGTACCTTACTAAAATAAAAAGTTGTACCTTGGTGAAACATAATCCTTTTAGTAGGCAGATGGTGTACTATATGTAGCTTCAAGTCAACTTACATTTTATTAACCTGTTTCTTTTCTACTCCTTTTCTATTTTATCAGCTTCAGAAACTGAAAGTTGAGCCAGTACTACTGCATTACCTTTCCCAGATGAAAGTTCTTAGAGGTAAGGTGCAGCTGGATAGATCACTATGATAAAATGCTTATTAGTTTCAATTGTTTAAGGAGCTTCCTGTGCTTTACATACAGGGTTAGAATTGAGAATGACAACAAGTACAAGGCTGAGGACTTGCTTGTATAGCTTCACAAGCCCAGGTGCTCCTATGTATCCAACAAGAGCGGTCCGCCATGCCGCGTGGGAGGCATTAGATTTTCTTTTTCCGGTTAGTGATCTTCTTTCCAGTGATTTGTGGGTTTTGGATAGCTTATTTGTCCATTTGGGGTGGCTTATTAAAAACACTTCTCTAAATAAGTATGCGGTACCTTTCTAGAAAACACCAAGTCAGTGCTTTTCTCTTGAGGAAAGTGTTTTTAACCCTATGAAAATGTAATGTAATGTAATGTAATGGGTTCTAATTCAATAATTTAAAGTAATAACATATGCTTTTGAAGTATTCAAAAGATACTTTTTTCGGTTTAAAAAATTATCACACAAATAGGCTATTTGTAGGAATTGTTGTCATATTACTAATCTACTAGTTCCTCCGTCCCAAATTGTGCTGTTTTTTGAAGTTACAACTAGTAGATAATGGAAAGTATAACTCTTGTAAACCATCCATCCTACTTACCATTTTAACTTTCTTTGTTAAATGGAATTTGACATACTTAACTTGTTAGTAGCTCTGATTTTGGATAAATGTCATTAAATTCTATAGAAATTAGTTATATTTTGTTGTTGCAAGTTGAAACATGTTACAAAAATGAGTTTTGATCATTTTGTTTATGTTGATTCATGTTAGCTGACCTCAAACTCTTTGGTATTAAGGCTTGTATGTTGTTGTTGATTGATGGAGTATGCACTGATACTTCTATTGCTTGCCGCATCAGATACCCAGATGATTAAAATTGAATAAAAATTACTCCGTACATATTAAGTGCATCTATCCTTACCACATATGTTCCGCTTGTGCATATATCAAGAAAGTATGTGTCTTTACAGAGAAGGCTAATGGCATGACTCCACATAATGAACTGTCTTTGGAAACTTCTTCCATTACTTTTTTCCCCTTTCCCTCCCATTTTACTAGTTCCAAATATAGCCTAAAGAGTTCATAGAATGGCACCAAGATAAAGAAAATATTTGGATACATGGGTGCTATCGGTTTTATAGAATTGAAATATTTGAATAAAGATCTAAACTTGTTCTATTGTGTTTGAATCAATCTTTATATTTGCTACCACCCTCTTCTTCCGTAAAACTTCTGGCCGAAGTGCCGGGGAGGTCCTTTTGCTCTACTTACTACTATTTTTTATGAACTGTTAATTATCTTCATTAGTGTTTTTATTATGTGGAGGTGATGTCACGTATGACACTGATTTGACATTATTTATTTCTAAACAACTTTTCATTTATTGAAAAATCAGCCTCTATGTTCCATATGGTATGGTGGCGTGACATAATAAATGTCACTGCCACATAATCAGAGTGGTAAAATGCTCATTTACCCCCCCCCCCCCCCCGCCCCATGAAGAGAGTTCAACATTAATTACTAGTTTTCTTTAGCTCACTTGGAAAGTCAATAAAAAAAAGTTATTTTGCCTAAACAACTGTAAAGTTTAACTAGGAATTTAGGTGTCAAGTATTTACGTATCTTTTTTGTAAAGACATGTGATAAGTCATGTCACCAGCCACAGTAAAAAATGGTGGTTATGATCATCCCTGGTTAAACTGAATTACTCCGTATATAATACAGGGACTAAATTTAACACAGTTGGACTGTTGGAGTAAAAGGATTAATTTGAACAAAGTGAGATAGTAGAGGGGTCAAGTACTATATTCATTATATTGCCTTCCCTAGCATTTCCCAAGTTCCAAACGGACCCTTAGAGTCTGGAGTTTATTCCTTGAATGGCAGTATTTAAATACTATGGCCTGTTTACAAATGCTATATGTATGGTTGAATTTACTGAATTTTTCGAAAGAGAAAAGCAAATAGGAGACAAGCTTATTTTTTCTAATAAGCAAATTAATTCATTAATACTACCAAATAGGAGCTAAGCTTTCCCTCTAAATTACTTAATGATCTTTTTTTGTGCCAGGTCGGTCGGTATCCACGGCACCTGATAAGCATATTCTTTCGGTTGCTACACCCATGGTACTGGCCCTCCTCTTTTTGGAACTTCATAAAGTCGTGTATTTTAGCAGTTTTATATTTTGTATCAAGTTTTGTTTTCTCTAGTTGGGATAAGCTGGCAAAATTTAAAGAATGATAAACTGGGGCAAACTGCTCAGCTGTTGTAAATCTGTAAATGTGTATCTCATAGTCAGAGTTTCAAGAAAGAGTTACAGATTCAACCTCCACATTCCACCCACAGCTCGTCTAAACGTGATAAAATATAGCCAAGAGTAAATCCAACTTGATAATAAGAATTAAGAAATGATTAAGAATGAACACTCAATCTTGCATGTTGGTTTCTTATTTCATACTCCGTGTTTCATTAAGAGTGTGAAACCATACTACTTTAAAATTGAATATTCTGCAATAAGTTTCATTTATCCATCGATTTACTCTAATATAATAACTGAACGCCTAAACGTGCATGAATGATGAACAAAATGTGAAAAGTTGCATGTTTGCATTGGAGGTTAGTGTCGTGATTCACTTGGAGTATGTCAACTGGATATCTGTATAGTCTTAATTGTAAGCGGTATATAGTACATGTGGACTCCATCGCTTTCTGTTGTGTGGATTGTCACACTGAAATTGTAACGTTTTGGGCTTTAAACACTGGACTAGTATGATGTGAAGAGTGGAGGGTGGATGGAATAGATCAATTTCTATGTCCAAAATGTACTGCCATTAATGTGTATTTGTGCGAAGTATTTTTTATGTGTATTTTGTACATCACAACTTCACAAGTGTTTGAGGATGGGAACAACATGTGCATTAATTGAACATTGGCAACTCTAAAATGCTTACGAGTCCGCTTGAATTTGTATCATAAACCTGTGCACATTTTATATTTTGACCTCATATTTTTATGAAGATGCATCCCATTCATCCACATTTGCGTAAGAAAAACCACGATCTACGTAGTATATCATTAGAAGTATTGTTTCACTGAAACATCTCTCCCCCTCTCTATCTCTCTAAGAGTCTAACACATGCACACAATACATGCAATGGTAGATGTATATATGCAACGTGGTGCGACTGTATGAGTTGCAATTAATAGACTTGCAGTTATGCCTTGGTATTTGATTGGGATGATAGACATTATCTATCGATTCCATCATATAAAGAGATTCCATCATATAAAGAGGTATGAGCTGCAATTTAATGGAAAAGTTACAAAGGGAATTTAAGTTCTAAATAAGAATTTTAGTTCTAAACAATAATTTTAGCATAATTGTGACGACTCCAGCAAAGTGCAAATCAAGGAATTTCATAGGGCTGGACATAGTTTGGTTTTGGACTGGTTCCGGTCCTGGACTTGCTGGTCCTTGGAGTAGAATGAGGCTCGGGACTTATATTTTTTCATTTTGGTCCTCTTAACCCTTATTCAGATTTTAAAATGTACCAGTCCTTTTTAAAATATCTCCCAATGGAATCCCAATTTTTAAAAGAGAAATTTTAAGTTATATTAAGGAGAGGGTCATACAGAGAGTTCAAGGGTGGAATAGCCGTTTTCTTTCCAAGGCGGGACGGGAGGTGCTTCTCAGGACGGTGATTCAGGCAATGCCCCAATATGCAATGAATGTTTTTCTATTACCGGTGGACCTATGTAAGGAGATTGAGCGAGTTATGAATGCTTTTTTGTGGCATGGGCATGCTTTTAAGGGAAAGGGCATTAGATGGAAGCGGTGGGAGGATCTATGCACGCCGAAAGGGTTGGGTGGTATTGGCTACCGTAAGCTTCGTGAGTTTAATATAGCCATGCTTGGAAAACAGGTTTGGAGGCTTCTGAAACAACCGGAGGCTTTGGTCAGTAAAGTTCTGAAGGCTAGATACTACTCTCATGGAGATATATTGCAGGCTAAAAGTGGGTCAAACCCATCTTTGATTTGGAGAAGTATAGCAGAAGCAATACCGGCAGTTCGAGAAGGCATTATGTATCGGGTTGGGAGTGGAGAAAATATCCGGGTTTGGAAGGATAGGTGGGTGCCGAAGACTGAAGGGGGTAGACCTATGTCCCCTATTCATGAGGGATTGGAGGAGATTACTGTTAGCTCGCTTATGATGGACAATGGCAAAAACTGGGATGTGGACTTGCTATCGGAATTATTCTGTGAAGAAGATAAGCTCAAAATATTAAGTATACCTCTTAGTGTGAAACGTGAAAATGATGAATTAATCCGGGCAGACGACTCTAAGGGTGTATATTCGGTTCGTAGTTGCTATAGAGCCTTAACAAGGAAAAATTTAAATCCTCCCAGGTGGACTAATATGTGGAAATTGGCAATACCACCAAAAATAAAAATATTCTTTTGGCAAGCGTGTGTTGGATGTTTGCCGATGAAGGATAGATTGATTCAACGTAGAGTACCGGTCTGGCCGGTGTGTCCAGTTTGCAAGAAGGAAAAGGAAACTACTATGCATGTGCTTCGAGAATGCAACCTTGCGAAAAAGGTCTGGTGCAGGCAGAACTCCAAATTTGCTGCAGAAATTTCGAGTGACTTTCAAGAATGGGCGACTAGTGTGAGTAGTAAATGCAGCCCGGAAGAATTCAGCGACTTCATCGTCCTATGCTGGAGTTTATGGAAAGCCAGAAATGCAAAGGCGTGGCACAATTCGAAAACATCGGCAGAAGGTGTTATTGCGTGTGGTGCAGCCATGCTAGAAGGATGGCAGAACGCTCAAAGTGCAGTGTCAATGCCTGCGAGCTGCTCTGGAATGGAACGCTGGCAACCACTAGTTCAAGGAGTAGTAAAAATTAATACGGATGCAGCAACTCAATCAACTGGTTTTCAAAGAGGTATAGGCTTGGTAGCTCGTGATGACAAGAGACTGTTTCTAGCTGGCAAACGCAAGAAGTTAGTGGGGACTTTTTCAGCCAGCATCACAGAAGCTTTGGCAATAAGAGAAGCTCTTCTTTGGGCTAGAGAGACTGGATGAGAAAATGTTATAATCGAATGTGATGCACAACAGGTGGTTCGTGGTCTTATAGCTCAGGATGGTTCAACATATAATGATATTCTTTATGATGATATTAGACGTATGATGACGCACTTCGTCAGTTTAGATGTCCAGTTTGTTCGACGATCGGCGAATAGGGTTGCACATGTGTTAGCTAAGCAAGCCCTTTCCGAGTCTGATTGTAGTTGGCAATCTTCGCCTCCGGCTAGTATTGTCGATCTCCTAAACAGTGATTATCCTTAATAAATTTATGTGTTTGGTTTTCAAAAAAAAAATTACAAAAAAATGGATCTGGAACTATTGACAGGTCTCGGTCACAAAAATTGAGGTTTGGGACTGGGTCACTGGGATCTCTTTCCCTCTGGACGAGGTGGGGTGGTGAGGGGGGGTTAGTGGCACGAGCTAGGGAGAGAACTAAATCTGGTTTTGGCTGGGGAGGGGACTAGGCGGTGGTCACTTGATGAATAGGTGCAGCGGCAGTCATCGGACAATTTCAGGGCTGTCACTGTGATGGGGTTGGTGGACTGTGGCTGATCTGATAGGCATGAGTGGGGTTGCAGCGGCAACCAGTCACCAGACGGGGTGACAGTAGTCATTGGACAAGGCGGCGTTAGTAACTAGACGGGGTCACTGTGACCGGTGGACGGGCAGTCACTATGGTCGGAGACGGAGTGTCACTGTGAGCGGGCAGTCACTATGACCGGTTGGGCAGTCAGTGTGGCGGTGGGGCATCACTGTGGTGGTGGGACTTGTGGGTAGTCACTTGGCCGGAGTCACTTTGCATTGCAGAGGTTAACTGTGATGTTGATCACATTTTTGGAATTTTTAAAAACATCACTTTTTTGTCTTTTATTCTATTTTTAGTAATATCCAGACCAAAAGGCCAATGAAAATACAAGAGTATTGGATTAGAAGGCCGTAATTGCAAAGCAAACTTATTGAAGGTAAAGGCACATCATCATAACTAGTCATGGACTCGGGTCGGGCCGCCCTGTCCGGAATCGATACTGTTTGGGCCCAACCCGACCCAGAACCGGTACTGTTTGGGCCCAATCCGGCCCGGTACGCGATTATAGGACCGGTCCGGGCCATCCAAACCCGAATTTGTCGGGCCGGGCTCGGGCCTCCTAAAAGTGGAACCGGCCCGACCTATTTCTTTTTTTTTTTTTTTTTTTTGTTTTTTTCAATTTTTTTGGTTTCTCCCGGGTTGGTCTGGGTGTTTTGGGGGGGGTTGGGGGTGAAGGGGGGGGGGGGGGTTAATTAGAAAAGCAAAAGAAATTTAAAAAAAAAACATGAACCGGCCCGGAACCGCTGCCTACCCGGGCCGGTTCCGATTCTTCCTTCCCAAAAAAAAGCCCGGCTGGGCCCGACCCAGGTCCATGACTAATCATAACTAAAAAGCCATGTTGTAATTGAAGTCCAAGCTCAACCCTCATGGACCTCATGGCCTCATGTGTCATGTGTGTATGCTCTCCTCGTCCCAAACTTAGATGCAAAGAGAGATTTACAAGGTCAAATGATGATAAAGTTCACTCTCATTTTTAAGTGTGCCGTAGTGATATACTAATTTGTATGCTTAGAAACTAGATTAAATGTTTTATTCAACGCAAAAACTAAATATAACAAATTTACACTCAAAATTAGAATATAAAATAGCATTTGGCTTACCAAAAAAGTAAAGTGAATGTTATTTCACTCAAAGTGTGTACACACTCCATTCGCACTGAGATCCGTGAGGAATCAAAAGACCCAAATTGGTTGCACATATTTGTTGGTAGTTTTCACAATTCGTGGAGGCAGGAAACAATGGCTTATTTACGAGAGTATCTAAACGTTTATAATCATACGAGATGTTTTACAAAAATAAGAGTCATATTTTGTACACATACCACCGTTCTTGTTCAGTTGTGTAAACCTATTCTTTTTATTGCCGATGCATACTTCTATATGTGTGTGTTATCAAATTTAACACACGAGTCTCATTGATCCAAGATAATCTATGTTTGTGTGTCATATTAGTGTGCAAACATTAGCAGCTGGATGAATACATATAGATATTTTAAAACAAAAACAAATCCCATAAACTTGTTGAGTTGATTGGCACCAAGCCAATGAAATTCATTACACATTCATTCGTTCAACACACCGAACCTTGATATGATAACATCAAAAGTACATAACTGGGGTCTAAGATGACAAGACCTTAAGATTAACGGAAAGTAAAGTCGACAACAACATATTAATAATAGTATCACAGCTTAGCAAGGCTGTCCCACACAAAACTATAAACATTCCCCTGGAGGGAGTTATAATGCGCAAAGAGATGAGCAAATCGAACCTTGCACTAGTAGAGAGTTTCATTGATTTATTTAAGGGCTCTTTCCTTGAAGATATCGAGGCCCACCTCCGTTGAATCTGTGGCTTGTAGCTCCACCTGAATGCCATCCAACTCCTTCTTAAATCTCTCCTTGGAGCTGGCATACACCATCTTGTCCCTTACTCTGCTTGTCTCGGGTGTCCTTCACACAACAAACAAATAATACACCGGTGGACTAGTTAGTCTAGCTTAAAAATTAATGAAATCTCTATATGAAGGAAAGAAAGGTGCCTGCTGCTTTTCAACTCAAATGCTAGTTACCATGCAATAAAGAATATCCTGCTCTTTGGGACATTCTCCTTTGAAACGAAGTCATAGTCATAAACTGCATAACGGGATTCATTAGCAGGCAGATTCTGAATGAATTCGTCATAGCTCTCACCCGGATCACCGAGTTTTTCCACGACTATTTGTTTTTCTTCAATTTTATATACTATATACCGGTGAGTCCTCTTTCCCTTCAACTCCAAAAATTTCAGTTTGCAGTCATCATGGACAGCCATGCCTGATGCAGCATTTGCCTGGTGCATAATAATAAAAAGCATTCATGTCTTAGTGCATGGTGCACAAGGGTATGATATACATTTCATATAAATACAGAAGTATCTACTGAGCTAGAACAAGTATCTAGAATATAAACTGAAAAAAAAAAGATGGTCCAAGATGCTGAAACCACATCATCATACCCATCATGAAGATGGGACGACCATTTTTCTCGATTACCAAATTGTCTATTGTATGGACAAAAGTTTCGAAGACCTTAAACCTCAAGTAATAGAAAAGTAAGAATGTAACGTTAGTGATTTAAGTCAGCATTTTTACTTGAAAAATATCAAGTTCTGAAAGGGTTGTATATGTGCTATCAAAAGAGATACTACTAATAACTAAGGTCAAGGAACCAAAACAGCTGTCCAAGCAAGTAATACAGAGAAATACTTCAAATGTCATGGATCAAGCAAATGCATTTGTTTGGACTTTTGGGGATGACGTGTTTGATCCAAGTAATAAAGAGAAATACATTACCCCTACTATTTTCTTCTTGAAAAGTAAAAAAACCCATAAAATACCTGGTAGGAAACTTAAAAAGAACAGAGGTAGTACTAATTAATGAGAATATTATTAAAATTGTAACATAAGATTAGACATGTTTTATTTTATAATAATAAAAATAGATACAAAAAGTGAAATATTACAAAAAAAAAATAATAATAGTACATAATAAAAGCACAAAATCTATACACAAATGTAATAATAATAATAATAATAATAATAATAATAATAATAACAACAATAACAATAATAATTAAATACAATTAAATCCAAATAAAAAATTCAAGAAAATAGAAAACTTACACATTCAAAATTAAGAAAGTGCAAAAAACAATCTAAAACTAACAACTAAAAGCTATACATCCTAATACTCCGTACATCAAATCATTTTAAAATTAGTTGATATACAATTTTGGACAAAAATAAGATACAAAATCATAAATTTATAAATGAATTTAAAAATAATATTTTTCAAAGAGTAGGATCGTAGGAATAATAACTTTACTGAAAATGAAATTGAAGTACATGATAACATTTTTAATCTTTAAACACAAGGTACACAGAATCTAGTTAAATTTACATCATACTATCGGTATAAAAATTCAATTCATATGTTTTTCTACGTTTTGAAAAATATAGAGTTGATGGTAGGGATTACTAAAAGAAAAGGAAACATAGTTCAGATAACTTGAAAAATACACTTCGTTTCTATTTAGAAATGACCTGCAATAGCACGTTATAGCATGTCAAAGATCACTATTGGCGGCCGACCATATAGTTGAGATTCAATAGTTGGGATTACTATGCACTGCTGGGCAATAGTCAACTTTAGTAATTGGGATTATTGTTTTCAATGTGAAGGAAGAGTTAACTTCAAGATAAAACAACACAATATGGGATAAAGGGGGTTATTGATAAAATAACACAGAATTATTCATTAGGATAGTAATAAAAACACCCTAGAATACAATAAAGCAGACAAATTACCTAGATAGTTCATAGATCAAATAATTCATACCGAATAGTTAATAAGAGAATAAATTCACTAAAGAGATTCTGTACACCAATCTTCAGAACAGGTCATCACTCGAACAATTAAAAATTTAGATACTTATATACGGAGTAATAAGGAATTTTGTGTGTCAGGACTACAAAATCCAAGATAACTGAATCAAATTATGGATCATCAACCGCCTTTTTCCATATGAACGGATCTGGTCCGTATTTCTTACTCCGGATTATGAAGAAAAATCACACTTCAACACTAATAGACGTAACCTAACCATCCGCTAAAATGAATGGCAAATCTAGACATTGCAGAAGACCAGACGGATCCAAACAATCAAATATCAAGTTATCAGTAAAGATCACAGAGCCATCAAAATCTGTAAACTGGATTTTCAGAACGAGAGCTGCAAAACGTCAGATCAAGCAACAACGAAAATATTGACAAAATACTAATCCATGTAAATACACAAAATACTATCTTGGTGAATATGTGTGGTAAATGTTGAAGGAATTTAGCTCAACAAACCATGGCGTTGCGCGGTAATCGGTGAAAGATCGGCGAGATTTGAGCGGAGATATAGAACTTAGGGCAAAGAAGAGATATTCTTCTACGCGTATATATAGAAGATCGCGTTTGAACCGGAAATGACTTCTGCTTTACACAGATAAGCAAAGGGTAGAGAAAGAAAAAGAGAAATGTAGGATCGAATTTCCAATTCAGCCCCGGACAATTTGGTCCACACCACCTAAGAATATAAGCAAGCTGGTCGAACCAATACATCTTTGCCACATAACGAGTCCCAAATTGACTAATCTAGCCCTTATGATTTGTCAATTCTACCGTGGATTGTTAGAGCACTCTTATGACTTTACTAGCCAAATAAAAATTTGGAATTTTTGCCACTTTTGATCTCATGACTATGTACCAAGTCTCACTCTTGGTCCTCTTCTTTTAAAATTTTCATTTTTGGTGCACGACTATTATATTTCGGACACTTTTAGTCCTCCGGTGAATTAGCCGGCAAAAAACCATCGGCCAAGCAGTTTATTTTCTCCCGATGAGCTCACTTATTTATTTTAAGGGGCATTCTCATCTTTAAACAAAAAAAAAAAAAAAGTTAATACCCCGTGCCCCTTAAAATTGAAACATTCGTTCTTAGGCATCCTTTGCTCCAGAAGAAAAGGAACGAACATATGAAGGCAAGCTCTGAAGACTAACTCCAAGAAATGGCAGATGCTCCTCCTTCAAGAGATGCGGCTATCTTTCGCAGAAACGGTATGTACTCGTACAAAAAACCCTAATTTGTTTGTTTGTAATTTTGTTCTAAATATATGCTTACACTTGTAGAATCGGATTGTGGAGATGATGAAGAGAGCGATTGTAGCTATTCTCTTTCCGGCCTAGAGAAAATCTCAGACAGTGATATGGAAGCAATTAATCAGGATAATATGGAGTTTGAAAAGAATGTGGACTTCAGTGTTGAATATGCTGGTTTGATGAGAGATGAAGAACAAATGGCTCTTGGGTGTACTGCAGAAAAAGGTTGGTCTGACCCCAACTTATCTGATGATGATTCTGTAGAAGATTCAGAAAGTGATGTTGAAAGTTCAAAAGTCCCCTGGCCTATTTTCAGAGCTAGCACAGAAATGGAAAATCCAACATTTTCTGTAGGTGTGACATTTTCAAGTAAGAAAGAATTTAGAGAAACAGTGCATAATTATGCCTTTGAAAATGGAAAGGACTTGAAATTTGTGAAAAATGATTCTCTTAGATTTATTGTGAAGTGTAAGCAAACTGAATGCCCTTGGACAATATCTCTAAGAAAAGTGCAGAATTCTTTATCATGGAGAATATTGAGGTTATCAAAAAAACATGAAGGATGTGGTTGGAATTACCATAACAAGATGGTTAATTCAACCAAAGTTGCAAAAAGATGGTCCAAAGAGATACAATTCCACATCAATTGGAAAATGAAGGAATTTAGAAAAAAAGTGTGTACTAAAGAAAAGTTTCACGTCAGTACGAAACAAGCGTATAGAGCGATCCAGAAAGCAAAGAAACAAATCCAAGGGGACCAAGAGGATAACTTAAAAAAGATTTGGAGTTATTGTGCAGAAATTGATAAGACCAATCCTAAGTCACGTGTGTTGTGAAAGTAAGTGACTTGACTGGCCAGAGTGAAGAAATTAGGTTTATGAGATTTTATATGTGTTGGGATGCTTGTAAAGAGGGATTCAAACATTGCCGACCATTAATAGGTGTTGATAGGTGTCACTTGAAGACTACCATTGGTGGTCAGATTCTAACTGTTGTGACTATTGATGCGAACAATAGCATCTTCCCTATTGCATATGCAATTGTTGAAGGAGAAACAAGACAATCTTAGAGTTGGTTTTTGAGGATTCTGAAAAGCGATTTGAATATATGTGAGGATAGTGAACATATGTACACTATTATGTCTGATAAGCAAAAAGGTTTAATTCAAGCTTGTAAGGAGGTCTTACCTGGAGCAGATCATAGGTTTTGTGTGAGACACTTACATGCCAACATGAAGGTTGCTGGTTTCCAAGGAACTGCATTGAAAAATGCATTGTGGTCATGTGCTAGGGCCTCCACAGTGAACTCTTTCAACATTGGGATGACTAAGTTGAAGGAACTAGATGAAAAGGCACATGAGTGGGTATCTGATAAGCATCCTAGTGAGTGGTCTAGGTCACATTTCTCTACCACAACACATTGTGATATGTTGGTTAACAATATATGCGAGTGTTTTAACTTTGTCATATTAGAAGCTAGGGATCAACCTATAATTATGTGCCTTGAAACTCTAAGAAACTTGCTTATGACTAGGTTCTATGACACACGTAAGAAGGGAAGAAAGTGGAAGTCTAGGGTTTGTCCTAAGATTGTTAAAAAAATAGAAGAGATTGAACAAAAGGCAGCTAGATATTTGGGATATCAAGCCACTGACACACTATTTGAAATAACAGGCATGTATGGTGAGCACCATAATGTCGATCTAGAACAAAAACTTGTTCTTGTCAGATGTGGGATTTGACTGGAATACCGTGTAAACATGGAGTGTGTGCAATTTGGCTGAAATATGGCAAGGGTCCCGTGTATGACTATGTAAGTCTGTACTATTCCAAAGATACGTACATGAAGACTTACAGTGGGTCAATAAATCCTATGTCTGGATTTGAGGAATGGCCAGTAACTGATAAAACTTCCCCTTTGCCTCCACTTTATTGTAATAAACCGGGCAGACCAAAAAAAATGAGGAAAAAATCAGCTGGTGAGCTTACAACTGATGGTGAAAGAGTTGCTAGGAGCCGAATTACATTGCACTGCTCGAACTGCAAAAAAAACTGGTCATAATTGTAGGAAGTGTCCAAATGATCCCAAGCTTAAAGATAAGTTGGTAATGATCTGATTTTATAGTTATTTTTATCTAAATTCAATTACAATTATATTTGTTGAGTTACATATATGTACTTGTAATGTTGTGATATGTTTACTACCTATGTAGCCTAGAAAGAAGACGAAAGCAGCAACAAGAGTTTCTGAAACCCAAAAGGAGTTGCATCAGCACATACATAACACCGAGGAGCACATTAACATAGAGGATGGCATTCTAAATGAGGAGTGTGTAACAGGTGTTCAATATACCAGTTCTGATATGCCTGCTGGCAGTTTGAATAACCTAGGTTGTGATTTAGAGTTGGACTGTATTATCGGATCATTTGATGTTAATTCTCTACTTGTCCCTGATGATAGCCTTCCTTGGATAGAGATGGCTAGTCAAAATGAGGCAAGTGCCAGTGAAAGAAATAGTGTTTGTGATGCGGGACAACTCTCTAACATAGAAGTGACAAGCTATGGTGTGAAGTTTGTTTTGGAGCTCCTTCCGGTAAACTGAATATCAAGAGGGCAAAATGAAGGACGTATGGATTTGGCCTGTGCACAGTTTTTTTGTTCAATTATTAATGTAATGTTAGCCAATCACTTTGGTATGTTTTTTTTTTGCTAATGTCAATGGCTTAGTAATGTAATGTTATGAAACCTCATTGTTCAAAAACATAAATATTGGATGTTAAGTATTTTGCAAAATGTTACATCCAAGTTATTTGTTCAGTGCTCTAGGCAGAAGGCTCTCATTAAAGTATACAGATATTTTCTTGACTATCATAGTTATAGTGTGTGAATAGAGACAAATTCATGTCTTTACATAGACCAAATGTGCTTATAGAGACACATTCATGTCTTCTGTCAGACCAAATCTGCTTATTACAAATTCATAAGTACATGCATATGCAGTGCAAAAATGAGATGGAGCCAACTTTATTTGGCTATACTTGTTTGTACTTTGTACACTATCAGTTTTGGTAGTTCAAATAACTTTTTTTTTGTAGTTTGCTATGTTTCCAACTTCACTATCTCATGTAATATTATGTTCAATGATATTTAAAGCAAGTACTCCTACTTGTTTAGTTACTGATGTGTTATGCTTCCAAGTTAAAACCACATGGTTGTTTGGTTTGTCCCTATAATTCTGTTTTCTGAAGTATATATATCAGCGGGAGGGCAAGCCTGGAATGGCATGCCAAATGAACTCCAATTGGGGTGAAGTTCTGGCAGCAACTTCCTAACTTATGGGGCTACATTCTGTCCGGTTTATTCTATAAAATGAGGTCTGTAACTACGGTTTCGAGCATGGTCTGTGTAGCTCAACTTCATGGTTTTCAGGAGCTGCACTTTTCTAGACATAATATAAGTAATTGTTTTTAAAAAATCTGCGAAGTCTTATCTTCTGTAATCACATCGGCCTTACTAATTGTCTTCATTTTCATTTCAAGACTTCTTATTTCTTCATCTTGACGGTTAATCCGTTTTCAATAACCCAGGGATTATCCTTTTGGCTCGTTGACACATAGGAGGGTCAAACCACTCCTTAAAATTGCATCCTTCATGTCTCTGTTGCTCTATATGCACAAGTAGAATATTAGTCAGTATTATATATATAGATTCTATCGCCTTTTTTTGCCCATGTCGTTCTATGAAATAAGCAACAAAAAAAAACTGCCTCAATTTTATGCATTTTATCTAATCAAGCTTTACACAAATTGAGTATTGAAAAACTTACTTCATAGTTAGGGAATTGGAAAAATCTCTGACCTGGATTTTCACTACTCCATGTGGTCATCAGCTTCAATTCATGGCCGCAGTGACAGGGAGTAACTGGAATCCACTCGCCATAGCTATAATTCTCACGCCTGGAATTTGAGGATATATAAGGAGCTTGCCATTTTTTGGATAGAATATAGCTTGGGTTTTTGTTCTGCGGTTCTTAAAGCTTCATTCAACGGGAGAAAACAAAAGTAACGAGACAAGTGATCGGTTACATCTATTTAAAGACAATAAAGCCCCTTCAAAAGCAACGTTTTGTTCATTAAAGGCCAAAATTGATCGGATAAGTGACTGGAGGACCAAAAGTGTCTAAGAGTACAATAGTCATGCACCTAAAATGAGACTTTTTAAAGAAGAGGACTAAGCGTGAGACTTGATATATAGTTATGGGACCAAAAGTGGAAAATGTACTCCAATAATTGGATATAACGCCTTCATTTTCATATATTATTAAAAATGTTATACTCATATTTAGTAATTTTCCTTCATGAAGTTAGTTGCTCATTTTGGTTAATTAATTTTATAAAGCGAAAAGAGAAGCAATGCTCCAAATTTTTAACCTTTTTCACTACACT